TTGATTTCCAACCCTATATACTACTATTATACTACATGATAAATTAAAATTATGCTTCTGGCATTTTGTTATTAAAAACGGTTCTTGTAACTACAAATTAGTTGGATATGATTCTACCTAGTTTTTTCAAGAACAAGACTGATGCAAAACTGTTCTACACTGACAATGGCATTAAGAGCATGCTAAAATTTCATCAAATGGGAACAATTTCTGTTCGTGCTGGTTGTTTCATTTCTCTTATTTCATATGAAGGTGAATGTATACAGTAATTAGTAAAAAAACTAAATGTATTAAGATAACTTTTATTTCACATTCAGATTATATAGATAATGTACTTTCCATCAACAATCATAAATTTAGTGACTATATTTCCATTATATATTCATGCATGTCTTGGACAAAAGAAACTTCCTTTTGCTTTTATGTCCCTGAGGGCAATCATAACTTGTATCCAGAATTATATCATGCATGTTGTTTGTGACATTAAGGATTTGAATTACGCAAGTCCATCCAGTCATTGTGAGTGCCCAGTCACTGCCTTCTATTTAAAGTTGTTTTGGGGGACAGTGTTGTATAATGGAGAGTATGCCTACTTACAGTTAGTTACTCTTCTTAGCTTTGTGTGGAGCATAAGGCGCCGACAAATCTATTTCATTCCAGGTCTTCCCTGCTGCCTTCAGCTCCTCTTCCACAGTCCTTCTTCAGGTGCCTAGAAGCCTGTCCGATCACTTTTTCTCTTCCCGGGTGGTGCCCATCTCAATGCAGCGTGGGGGTGTCTGGTTCTGCCCATTCTTAGCACATGCCCCAGCCATCTCCAGCGTCTCGGCTTCATCTCAGCTGTGATGCTATTGATGCAAGTGCGCATGTAGACTTCTAAGTTGGCGACATGCTGTTCCCAGCGGATCTTGAGGATGCGGTGAAGGCAGCGTCCTTCAAACCCCCTCAGCCTGCTTTCAATCTTCTTGTTGGATGGATCGGACGTTGGACTTGTAAATCTTCAGCTTGGTCCTGGTCTGGTGGGTCTTGGACTTCCAAACATTCTGAAGTATGTTGAAAGCCTGTGCTACCAGTCCAATTCTAGTGGAGATTTCTTTCTCAATGTTGCTGTCGGCAGAAATATAGCTGGCCAGGTACTTGAAGTCTACTTACAGTGGCCAGGTGAATCTTGTCAAGCTGTGAATTCAGATCTCTTGCTTTATGAATATATATTTGTGTATGTGCCTGTAATTCTGACTACTATTCTTGACTAAGTGTCATCACTACCTGTGGATAGATTGGTCCCAACGGTGAGTGAACTGAGTGGGTAGATCTCACCATGATTTTACTCGTGTTTGTATTGTGTGAAGATTTATATTTTGTAGGTATGTGACAGATTTTCAGTGCATCCACTACATTCTGACTATACAGATACACTGTGTTTTAATATATTTTGCTTACAGTAATGATTCACTGTGTGGTAAAATCTAATGTTTCAAGTTTATATGTTTATATATACGACTATAATGTTGATTATATATGTGCTCTGAATTTGACTCTAAATGCCAGCTATCTACCAGACTATCTGACAGGAGAGACGACTTTAATTTAATCATTAATTTCCCACACCTTTAGAGCAATATACCACCCTCTCTTACCTCATTCGCTAAGCCTGGTCCTGTAGTACATATGCAGACTTTTAAAAAAAGACATGTTCCCTATCATCCTAACATTAAACCAGGATTTGTAGAGAACGACTAGTTCTATTCAAAAGAAAGTGGTTTTTTGGACACATTCAGTGCGCATTGTGGTTAAATACAATAATAGTATTACACAGATGATATCATATGGCATTGAAGTCTGATGTCTTATGCAAGCCTCAGGTTAAAAACATAAACCTTTTTATTACTGTGGAGCTGGATGTGCTTGTTCTTCTCAAAATACTTGATTACCCTGTGTTTACCATGGGGTACATTTATCTTTCCCTTACTGATTTGACCATGTTATGTCATGTGTATTGTAATGCTGTGTAAAAAAACTAAGATTGTATTGCATTGAATTGGAATAAGTCAATAAGCATCAATTAAATCCAGCATCTCTATAAAAAAATTGTTTAGCCTTGAATGAATCTAATGTGACGATCCAAAAGAGACAGAATGTGAACAGGTCTAAGGCCACCTGAAGTCTTGGCTATGAGACATAGGTAGAATAGGGTAGAAATCAGGTCTGTACCCAGTGTATTGGATCATTGCACCCTTTTTGTAGAAGCGTTACAATCTCTGTCAGAATTAACGATTACTGGCAACGATTACTGTGTGGAGAAGTGGATACCACTGAGCAAACCTGTCTATGACTCACCCTATTCATTGCCCTACACATGGAAATAGGCGTTGACCAACAGGGGTGTGAGGGGTGGGGAAGCAGTCAGATGTGTTTGTGGAATTGAGGTCTTGCCTTTCATGAGAGATGTCCAATGTATGTTGTAGATTAGAAGTTTTTAGTTCGCCACAGACAACTGTTTCTGTGTTTTATAACCACATAACTGTATTGTGATTTAGCACTCTCAGGGAAATGGTAAAGAGTTTACTACCCCCCCCCCCTGAACAATGCTGGTGGTGGGATGACATAATCAACTGTTCTAGAATAAAGGTTGATGCTGAGATCTGTTCTCAAATATAATGTGGGCTCTTCAGGATTAATTAATATGATTTTTTTATCATTTGAATGTGGTCACGTGTACTGATTTGACACAACTGCATTGACATGAACTTGATGATCTATCTCCATCATTAATATTCAATTTTCCAGATTCACGTGACTTACCATCTAAATGGTTGGGATTGCCTTTACCCTTAACAAACGGGCCCTCGATGTATTCTTGGAAATTTGTCTGTTCTGTTTTCTTTCAAATAGTGAATAGTCGGCCAAGTTAAAGTTTGTACAGTACAAGACAGGTGAACTAGACGTTTTATACGGGAGAGATTACAGATTAATTTGGTTTATTTATAGAGAAAGTTGAATGTGCTGCATGCCTACCAGAGAATGCTATGGTCGTATGATGGATTTAATTAGCAGTGTGCATCAAATATACGTAGCTTTGTATGTACATTAAAGGGCGGCAGTCGTCACGCCGCGTCCTGTTCGATATTGGACTCATAGCGACGCATACAACGCGTGTAAAATACAATGTTTATTTACATGAAATTCGAACACGCGCTGCGCGACGACCACCGCGCTTTAAGTTTGTCAAAACGAATCTCCCGCATGTGATCTTGATACAACGCTTTTTCGACCAAATACCACCATTATTGTTTCACGTCGAATAGTTCTTGTGTTGAATGTTGCCGTTGAAACCAATGCCGAAGTTGAACGTAGTTTTTGTTGTAATGTCACAGGAAGCACAGAAACTAATACCCCTACCCCACCCCATACAAGACTAGACGTACAGTTTATTACTGTTCCCGAACTCCCGGTGTCTAGATATGCAACCTTTACATAAGGCAAATTTTTAGCAGAGTTCTTTGTCTGTGTTCAGAACTTTCTGAGCAACGACAAATGTTGCAGACTGAATGAAGTCGCGATTTGAAACGTTGGCTGACCGAGGTGAAACATTCATGCTAAGTTTGGCCATATATTTTATCACTTCCGGCTTCCTTGATGCTTTCACAGTTTTCCTCTTTAGAATTCTCCACTGAAATACATATTTCGAGTCGTGCACTATCCGAATGAAGCAGAATATCCGTACACTATACACTACTAGTAAACGGTCTGCAGTGTGAGGATTTTGCGCAAAAATCATGAACGCCAATGAATCATGGTTCTTTGCTCAGCGCATCCAACTTATCTTAATTTAACTGGGTTCGAAAGTCAATACCTGAGTGACGCTGGTGGTAAGTCGACTGACTTCAGATGGCACTGTGGCGGGCATGCAAGCTTGACCATATGTATGGGCGTGATGCAGACGAGGTGACAAATAGACTCAATGCCACTGCGATGGTGCGTGGCGACTGTGACGCCGTGTGACGACTGAGACGCTGTATCAACTCTGACTGTGGCGCTTTAAAGGGTGGTGGTCGTCGCGCCGCGCATGTCCGACATTTGTGCTGATAAACATTGATTTTCCCACAATGCAATGCGCTCTTCTAATGGAAATTACAAGTACGAGTTTCGACTTGGGTTCGACGTGCACTGATTACCGTCGATGACTCGATACCTTCCAATCACCAAAGAAATTTAGCTAGTTAAAGCTTGGTAAAGTCTTGTACTCCTTGGTCTGAGCAACCGTCAAAGTCACCATTTTTGTTCATATGAGACCCATATCTCGCACATACATGGCGCGACGACCACCGTCCTTTAATAACATTTTCCCAATCTCTCTTTTGCAAGTTTGAGTTCTGGAAAGAGCCCAGGAAGGAGAACCAGCCGATCGATATCATGGTGTCACCTGATGCATCCAGTCACCTCACACAATTCCTAAAAGTTGCTGAAATTAAACACGACATTGTCATAACAGACATACAAGCTCTCATTGATACTCAGAGAAAAAAGAGAAGCCAACAAGAAGACGTAGAAGATGTGGAAGAACAAGAAGATGGAGGGGTGAACATAGAGGGAGACCAACAAGTACCCTCAAAGCAAAGTTTCAATATGAAAAGTATCACACTTTCGAAGAGGTAAGCCACTCATTTATTTAATATAATTAAATATCTACATATAATTAAAATATCTACTAAATGTATGTCGACATTCTATTTTGGGGCTTCAATGTCCAGTATACTGAATTATATCATTCAAGGTTATTCAGTTGAACGATTGATCTTGGTTTTGTGAACATAAAAATAAAAACATATTTTAAATGTCAAAGAAAATTGATGATAGGTTTTAATGCTGGTGAACTAGCGCAATGGGTACGTCGTGTATTTGTAGTGTTTTTAAGTGGCGGTGGCACAGGAGGGGGTGGGAAAATGTTGGGGCGTCGCCCCTCCAAAATCAAGCTGAAACCCTTTATGTCAGCAACATTTGCCTCTCAACATGCAGGAAATAGCGTTTCAGAGGGTCTAAATTTTTAAGGGGTGCATGCGTCCCGCAAGGCCGCGCCTTGTGCGCAAGGGTTGGTGCGCAGCTCCCGCCCCGTCATGCAAAATTTCGTGCCACCGCCTCTGTATTTATGCTGCAAATTTAAAGCAACTATTCACACGACGACTCGATCCTTGTTTTATGACGTGAAATTAGAAATCTGTGAAATGTATCGATATGCAACTCCAACTATAAGTCATATGAATGGAATATACACCAATGAATGAATTTGTTTAAGTATTCACTGTTCGTGCGTACACATAATGTGAGTATGTTGTCGAGATACAGCGAGCAAGAGAATCTAAATTTAGAAGGAGGAAACCGCCCAACTAAACCGTTACTCATAAACTCGTATCCCATAGTGCAATGTGGTAATGATGTCATTGTTAATGCGCGATCTCCCCTAGACCAACAAGTTGAACACATGCATGTGATGTAACAGTACATGCATGACTGGTTCCATTGCAAGCATAGATATCCGTACGCGTTATCGCTGATAATATGTATAAATGTACGGTCACCATGGTGTTATTATGTCTCTGAGCACCGATCAATCAGTAATCAATGACATTATTTGACGTCCGATGTACACCTAACCAGCCAACAAAGTCAATTATATATTAAGGTATAACTAAGGTTTATCAAATCTCATAAATTTATTTTCATATTGATTTGATTCTTATTCGACGTGTTTTTGACTCCATTAGGCGGTCAAAAATTACTAACCAGTTAAATTGAATTTAAATTGAGTGATATAAAATGATTACTAATATTTTTTGTCAAATTGATTATTCCATAATCCAATGCGCATCTTGCACGATGTGCGTATTTTATAACAGATCCTGGATTGGATATTTGAGTTAGATCAACAATACGAAGATTTGGTTGAAGTAATACATATAGCGACGTCATACGAAAACAGACGTATTTATGGTCTGAAGGTAAACACACTCATTTTTTTTTTCAAATTTCTAGCAGCTGCGTTTATCACATTTATTTATCTAATCCCGTGCTATGTCAGTGCTGGACCAGAGGTGTGTACGTGAACTGTAACAGTAGAAGCGGCGGCACGACATTTTGAGGGGGGCGAGATCTGCTCATCATCTCTCGCGCGCCGTAGACGGTCGCGGTGACGCCTTCACTGAACAGATATGACGATAGAAATTGCACGGAGAAGTTCCAGAAGTTCAAATAGTGCAAACAACATTTTACAATAATGACAAGGTGGTAAAACTACAATATTAGGAGGGGTATACAAACGCATGTATTTGTGTGAGTACAGGAAGTAAAAAAATAAACGTATTACTCGGCCACTCAGAATAGGTGGGCTGTGTTTTTTTTCGTGTTTTTTTTTTTCGCGCATTTGTTTTTCTTTGCCCTAAGAGGGTCTATGCTTTGCCGTAGGTTTGTGGATTATCTGACTTGTTATTGTGGATTATCTGACTTGTTATTCTATTGATAACTATTATTGTGTGAAGCAAAATACTAGCTACGTTATCACACGTCTATAAAAAACGCCGGTGTTAAACACCGTTTTTTTTGTGTGTTTGCAAATATTAGATAATCTGCTGAATTCTCTGCTCGCGTTCTCACTTGGTAAAAACACCGGTGTTTGAGGATTGAATGCTGGCCTTCTACCTAATATTTTGTGTAGTTCATCCCAAAATCGCATAATTTTCGGATCTCTCCCGCTTCTGTTGTTGTGCTCAGCCACTTCTCTGTACTTTATACGAAAAGTTTTGATCTTCCGTTGACATTGTAATGACGTCCTGTCTAACTCCTTTTCAGCCGCTTTTTCTGCAATAACAGCATATACTCTAGCATCCCCAGACGTTCCGTCCATCATTCTTTGAATATTCGATTTTCTCCATACAGATATCAGTAATCTCGTTTCTTCGTCTTACCAGTTCGACATTCCACCTGTAACCTCTGACGCCATCTTTCGTAATGACAAGCATAAATAAGTCGGCGATAGAGGGCGTTTGGCCGTCGTATTGTGCAAGAGCCGATGTGACAACGGCGTTTATAGTGGTCCACCTCTTTTACGACGGTGTCAAAAACGCCGACGCCCCAACGGCGTATTCTATTCATACACACATTTTAACAACGTTCTCAAAAAAAGGCGTAGTGACAACGGCTTATTTCGTCTAGTGAGAACACCGATAAATTTAACCATCTAAAAGTGAGCTATAAAGAAACGAGTTATATTTAGAACTGCGAAAGTTCTTGATTGCGTTATCAGCCGACATCGTGAATGAGTGGATACGACACTATTGGGTTTTGATTGTTTTCATCTTTTCACACACGACTATCATTCTTTCTGATACAGGTGGCCAGCACATTGATTTTTCTCAGATTTAGAATTATAAAAATGATACTATTTTTCCAAATCCGTTTATGGTATATCGACTGTTACATTTGAAAGACATCGCTCAAACGGCTTGACTTGACTTGACTTCAAACAGTAAAAAATTCAAAACACACCGACATTTTAAAAATCACTACATAACTACGTATTACTATCGCTATTATCGAACACCAAAAGTTTACGTGACTAATTGTATTACACCTAAATATGTATGCGTCGTTTCTCTAGATATCTGGTGCAAGAAAAGACGAAGATAAACCGTCCATTTATATGCAAGGTGGCTTTCACGCCCGAGAATGGATAGCACCAGCAACCGTATTAGTCATGGTCAATCAGGTAAAGTAGTTATTTACGCCATTTATAGACGATACACCTAGCCAATAGCACCAGTGTTGGTGGACGTCTAGTACAATACGCTAATGCCTTAGATACATCATGAATACATTTATAGTGTTTAAAGCGGGAGGGGCGTCACCTGCGCACGCGCGGGAATTGAGCCCAAACGACGATAACAACGCACGCTAAAACCGCAAAGGCTCATGGTTAGACGCGTGTTTGTAAACAATGACACGCTATGTCTATCTGACGCATGCGCAGGTGACGATTCCCTCGCTTTAAATTCTAATGAACCATACAGTAACATAAGACACTTGGGAGGAAAATGAATGTGAACTGTTTATTTAAACGTATTCGTGTGAAACCATGTTAAATAAAGATTCTGGATGGGTGAATTTAAACAGCTGTTGCCACGGCCCGTATAGACACCGTTGGAATACTCCTTTTATGTCGTTGTTATGGTTTCTAGCTACTATCTAATTATGGAAGCGATGAAGCAATCACGGTACTTATCGACAACATAGATTGGTACGTTCTTCCGCTGGCTAACGTAGATGGTTATGTCTACACCTGGACCGAGGTGAGTATCACGTAACACTCTTTTAATATTTCACAAATAATAAGTGAAGTTATTTCAATTTCACAATTTATACTAAACAAGTCACTTTTGATGTCATAGTCCCGTTAGAATTAGGGGGAAAAGTTATTCATGCCAAAAATGAAGTAATATGGACCAAAAGCATAGTTAGTAATTAAAAGTGAATAATTGGCTAGTTTAGTTTCAACAGAAATTAGATTTAATATAATACGACTCTTTCAAAATCGAAATATATGGTTAGAAATTAAACAGTATATGCTCTTCGTGCATTTTTTGTATCCAAACTGAATTTAATTTATTCAGGCTAATGTACAGAGATATAATAGTTTGGTCAAAAAGCAAGATTTTAGGCAGTCAACCATCTTTGATCGGATTGTGACACTAATTGTCATGGACATGTATCCTAACATGTATAATTTGAAAAGAAAAAAACAGGTCAGCGATACATTTCGAAAAAAAAGGTTGCTGTGAGTTGCTCATTTTAGACTCAAACACGAAACGAATCATCATCATCTCAACATGTATAATGTGTGTATCGAGTTTGAACAAAAACCAACAAATCCTTTCCAAGATACCAAAAATAAAGAAGGATGCCAGTCGACCATCTTTGATCATATTGTGGAACAAACTGACAAGAACATGTACTCTTTTATGTGTGATGCATGTACCAAAAATGTACCAACAGCCTCGGGGATATAGTTGTATGAACAAAAATCAAGATGGCTGCTAGTCGGCCATCTTTGATCCAATTATAAAACAAACTGACATGGACATGTATTCAAATTTGTATGAAATATGTGCCAAATATAAATGCGAATGGTCACTAAGCCTTCGAGATATAGTAGTATGGTAAAAAAGCAAGATGGCAGCCAGCCAGACAATTTTGATCTGAATGTGAAACAAATAAAACAAATCACGGACATGTAATCAAAAATGTACAACGTATAACAAATTTGACGGAAAATGACAAACAAATGCCCATGATAAAACATTTCCAAAAAACAAGATGGCTGCCAGTCGGTCATCTTGAATCTGGTCGTGAAAACAACAGACAAGTATAATGTATGTACCAAATTTAGACAAAAACTGACAAAGCATGCATAAGATACTACATTTAAAAAAATGGCTGCCAGTCAGCCGTATTGGATTAAGTCGGTAAACCACAGTATGTGCATATGTCCCAGATGAAGTACTAGGCAAAAGCAAAGAATGAACAGTTTTGGTCCACAGGGTTCTGAAAGTTTGTTGTCGTGAAGTCAAATAGAATACATCAACACTGTTTGCAAGATGATCACAAATAAAACTAGCGACGCCATGATCGGCGCCCATCATACTTATTTTCCTGGAGCCATTGGCGCCATAGAAGCGCTTTATTGCTAGAGGGCGCGTCTTATAGGTGTGTTCTTGTCGTATGATGATGTTTTTTATGACTATTAAATCCTTCATTGGTGCTTCTAAAAACAACCCAGTTATTTATAATTGTTGTTTGTTAATCTGTGAAGATAGATAGACACCTTGTTGACGTCATCACAGCGTGTAGTGTTATGTATTTGGAAAGTATTGAACTAAGTCATCTATGAGTAACTAGCTATCGAAGCAAACCTGCCAGTAATTCCGTAAAAAAAACTTTCTGGCGATACGCACTACATGCAATAGATGGTGCGAATCAAAAACAGTCCCATTCGGACCTTCCAGTACATGTCCTTAGGCAAACTATTTAGGTTACGAATATTTTATGGTTATGAACATTGTTCATGTGTTAGCTATTACAAATGCCTTTTCATTTGAATAAGAATTGCCCTAAATCGTCCTTTGGTGATTATTTTAAATTTGGGACGGTGACAGTCGCTGTATTTGATTACTGTGATTATAAACAGTCGTAAATTTAAGTACCGCAAATATACCAAAAATCGACCAGTATTTTTCGGGTTGTAAGGTGCCTCATTTTTCTAAAGATGTTGTGAATGTAAATTGAGTTGTTTTTTTAAATTACGACTCGCTATGAGTGATTGCCAAGCACGAATATAGTGGTACCAAATAGAGTAAAATAGAAGGACTCTTGTAGCATGTTTTCTGGACACTATCCCTAGTCAGGTTCATACTCTCCTGCGCCAGGTGGTCTTCTTCCCCTTCTATCCATTGGGTGTCCAGTGCAAGGCCTTTGGAGTGCTACACGGTTCCAGTGTGGCAGGGAAGCTATTCATGCTCTCCTACTAACATTTAATAAGCAGATCTTGTTTGGTTATAGTATTTGGCCTTCTTGATATCTGTATGTGCTTCTAAGTTGTGTGACTTCTGTTATTGAAGGAAGGTATTTCCCATTAATACTTGGATCGGTAAAGGGTTTATAATTTATTTTAAAGCCAGTTTGGTGGATAAAATCACTGAGACGAGATATTTCCTCCTACATTTGTTTGTGAGAGTGTGGGGAGCAGACAGCAATATCTTTCATCAGTGCTGAGAAGGAGGTCCACCCATGTCTGTCTCCTGCCATCACTTGAATGTCAATGCTACTATTTCCCACTCTATATGTGAAGTTCGCATAGAAGGTATACCATGTGCTTCAAGATCCCATACATTCGATGTCCCACAGACTGTCACGATGAAGGCCATATAAAGCCTTTCTAAAAAACAATAAAGTTGATGTACATTTTCTTTTTCCACACCGTGCACTGCACAATTATGTTTCGAAAAGCAAACATTTGGTCAATAAATCCCCGTTCTCTACAAATTCCTGCTTGTCCACTTCTAAGCAGCTCATCTATTGCACCCAAGATATGTTGTATGATCTTGTTTTGCCATGCTTCTGCTTGATATTGAAAAGAGAGTTATTCTAAGTGTTACAAAGCCTTAGGTTGCCTTTCTTTGGAATCCACATGATGACTCCTTCAGACCAGTCTTCTGGTATCAGCATCGTTTCCCAGACGTCTGTCAAGCGTGGTTTAAATATGTTAGCAATGTAATGGCTGTAAATATATTCTCCTTACTTGGTGGATCAATGCTTATGTCTAAGTCGGTATTTGCAGAAAGTGTTACAATGTATATGTATTCCATTAAAGTTTAGTTTTGCGGTTTATCATTTCTCATTTGTTCTTCTCAGTCTGGTACATGAATATGTTCAAAGTTCAAAATCCTTGTCTATCATTGAGACTTGTGGCGTTATACCTTTTGCGTGGTTAAATATGATAATTGGTGATATCTAACTAAAAGGAGAGTTTTTATATCATCAATGCACCAACAACAACCAAAATGTCAATAAATTTTGATGCGAATGGCCACCTAGGTCTCGTTTCAAGCGAGAGTCACGAGACTTATGGCCACCCAGATCTCGATGCGAGCGAGAGCCACGAGACTTATTTTTGACCTTCAAATAGTGATTCTTTCTCTCCCGTCATTGCATTTGCTGTTCCCCTGGCTTGTATGGTATTTGGAATATTAGACCCGATGAAAATGGATGATGCAACATAATTTTAGGCGCATACGCAAGTCTCGTAGCTCTCTTGCTCAGCTCTCAACGAGATCTCAACGTGCATTCGTCCCTGGGGTAAATTATCCATCTTGTCTTTAATTAAGGATCGTTTCTGGCGAAAGACAAGATCGGTGAACGAAAATCAGGACTGCAATGGGACAGATCCTAACAGGAATTGGGACTACGATTGGGGAGGTAGGTTATCAGTGCATGTTTTATTTTATTTGAACGTCTGCTGAATGTATAGCTAGTGGGCAAGTACGAAGCGTTTTTACGACGAATGACTACAAAACTAAACACAGTTTGCTTCCTTCAATCCGCGTCATTTTGACGTCATGGTAGCCTCGCCTCATGTTTTGTCTTCTTCTGTAGGTGCCGGAACGAGTGATATTGCCTGTTCTCCCATCTACGGTGGCTCGTCTCCGTTCTCTGAACGTGAAGTGAGAGAGGTGGCAGGCTTTATAACCAAACACAACTTTGACGCTTTTTTAGATTTTCATGCGTACGGTCAGATCTGGATGGCACCTTGGAGCTACAGCTTAAGTTCAACTCCTGATTACGCAGAACAGGTGAGAACACGCGATGACTCGCCGTCATTACGCCGTTTTACCTGCAAGAAGTTGTTTAATGATGGTGAAATAACGCAATTTTAAAACACTTCCTAGAATATTCTTTTTATTGTTTCAATATTCACCTCAATATTATTGTTTGTTATTGTTGATAATTAATGTGACTTAGACTGGACCACCTGTCGAAGGCGATTTTCATGCAGAAAGTGTAGGTTTCAACATTTCTCCCAACCCATGTGGTAACACTGCAATTATACTAAGCTGAGAACGTGACTAAAAGCGCTTTGAATTAAAACAGGGTGTAACGTCATAGCATCACTAACTTTACTCTTTTGTTTGTTAGATGGAGGTTCTCAAACTAGCCATAGAAGCTGTCAATGCTACTAACGGTATGGAATACATCTCTGGGCAGATATCACATATATTCTGTAAGTAAGAAATAACGCAATGTGGCCAATGTGCTCGTACAATGTCTGAAGACGCGACTTACATGAGCGCGCATGGCGTAATGCGCGTCGCGTATCTAGGTAGCTGCAATGAGATAGATACTTTGCTACTTTATCATCACTGCATTTCTTGGTGCTAAGTCTATTGACAAAAAGCACAGCAAAAAAATGTAAATAATTACTGGAATTGGACTACATGATTTTTTTTATTGATATGTGCCTGCTTGATACTTGTCTCGGCACAACAGAGCGTAGTGAATAATTCCCTTGGAAATAATGAACTGTACATGCGATTTTAACTACTGGTGTGTACATGTACTATTAATTCAAAAGCAAAAAAAAGTTACAAACAATAAAAAACAACATTAATCATTAATCCATTGTACAAATCAACAAAGAACACACACACACATTGAGGTCACAGCGTTGAAACATACCAACTCATTCATATCATTTGTTAACAGCGCCTACGTCTGGTTCGAGCGGAGATTGGGCCTATGGTACCGCGCACATCAAATACACGTATGGTATCGAACTACGCGATGTCTGGTACGGCGATTACGGATTCTTGCTGCCCGAAGATCAGATTCTAGCCACGGGACTGGAAACATTTGCCGGTGTCAAGGCGATTGCCTCGTACATACTAGAACATGCAACCGATTCGGATAATAGTACCCTCTAGATGTGAATACTGTGTATAAATAACAGATTTTGAGGACGTTACTGTATTTACTGCATGTAATTTATCAACTGATTCATTTTCTCCAAATATGTTGATGAAAGAACATGAACATCATTTATCATCAATAATGTGCACATATTTATCTTGTTTTTGTGGTTATTGTGATGTTATTCTTGTTGGAAAGATAAAGTCTCAAATAAAGCTAAACCGTTGTTTGCTGTGTTTATTATTCAAAGCACGTTCACGATCATTCGAACCATTGCGTAGTCGCACTCCACAACTTTTCTACAACGGTAGTAGTTACGCTCAATGGCAGCTTGAGTTTAGGTACACAGACCAATCAGTGCGTCCCCTTTATATTTTGAAAGAATTGCTGGAACAAATCACACGACGTGATTCGTTATTTCTTTCTAAGTTATTCATTCACCAGTGTTAAGATCAAATATGGATATTACTTTGATTTAATAAGTATTGTAACCATATTTCCAATCATATTCCATCAAATAATATGAGTTATACACTAAATTGAAATTGGGCAAGATTGCATACTGATCATAACATGTCTGAAAATCATTGCATGTCAACTTTTCAACTACAACCACGAGAACTGTTAACTACGGACACTTTTTCTTCATTGAGGGAACTATCAGAGGAAAATTCTTCTCCTCTGAGGTTCTCCACACGTGTCGGGGGAATCTCGTCTCGTATCTCTATTGCGTCCCCTTGAGGTATGGGATTGGGAAAGTCACTTAAGCTTTACAGTCAAATAGACACACACAACGAAATACGTATCAACTCTCGTCTTAGTCGATCAGTCGAGCACTCTATAAGACACAGCGCCCTGGGGAAAAATCCCCAAGACTATCGCAAGGCTGACCCAAGACTAGCCCAAGACTGGACTA